ATGCCCGGAGGGGCGAGCAGAGCCCCCAGAATTGAGAGATGCAAAGCAGGCAAGAGCTCCAGTGACTGATGCCAATGATTTCCATGCTTTCAAATTGTAACCTTGCCCGCTGCATGATGTGCTGTTGTACCGCATGCATCATTTGCTGACCAGCGCTCTGCAAGTGCAGCAGCACCGACTGTCTACAAAAGTGGCCGTTGCTGTGCTGCTGCAGCTGCCGCTGCTGCATCAGCCTCCTGCCATCGCCTTGCAGCACATGTGCTCACTTCTCCAAGGTATGCGTCGTTGGAACTGGCAATGTGTCGCAAGGAATCATTTGCTAGGATCTCAGCTGCATTCTTAAAAGGTGACCATCCTGCAAGACTCGGCAATTACTGGCTGCTGCCTGTGAGTAGGTTGCACTACCAATCAATCTTAGCGCCAACATAATTTGTTTGCCCGAGAGCGTGGTGACAGCAGTGACTCGCAGTGCTTTGTCAGGTCCAGAGGGGCACATCTGCGGGTCTGGAACGACGCAGGGACCTCAACAACTCTCAGACCCGCCGCACGCATGTTCGGCGGTCTTTTAAAGTTCTGTGCAGACTGAAAGACTTTCCGTGGCATTTGTCTCAGAATGTGCAAATGGGCTCAGCGCTGCTATTGCAGCTACTTCGATGTACCAGAAAGCAGCATCAGAGCTTTGAAGGCCAGAGCAGCAGACTGCCATCCGTTGCTACGATGGGTTCTTTTGTCGGAACTCCACCACGCCGGGTGCCTTGGAGTTCTGAAAGAATGAGATGACATGCTTGCAACTTAGAAGTCATGGTTGGCAGTTCACTTCAGTAGCTATCAGACGTGAATCCTAATGCCTGAGCAAGCTAGAATGATCCATGTCGTTGACTTAGCCTGCGACCGCCGTCTCCGTACTGCCTTCCGCGCTTTGGTGTGTGAGGTTCAAGTAGCATGCAGCATGACCATCACCAGCATAGGTACACAACTTTGCTTCAGCGCATTTGCTTCAATTGGTGCTGCGTACCGAAAGTATTCATAAGCCATGAAGGAATGATCTCATCAGAAACGGGTGCAGGCACAAAGGCCAAATCATGCTTGAAGCTAAGCCATCCTGATATATCTGCCAGCTCTTGAACCTTATGGTCGCGATATGAGCCATGGCCGACGGCGATGGGCAAAGGTCCCTGCATGTCGTTTCAGTTCTCAAGCCAATCAACCCACACCATTCTCATCAGAACCTGCCTTCCATCTTTGACAAGCATGATGCCACAGTCTGTCCACCACACGAACTACTTGTATAGACCAAGACCTCAACAGGAGCCAGACCCTCCCCAGACCATGACTAAAACAGGATCCTCGATGTGTTCAAGCGCTTCGACACCAATTCAGATGGCGTCATCTCGAGGGAGGATCCTGCATTGGCAAGATGCGCAAGAAGCCGAACAGCAACACGCACGAAGAAATGCGATTTGAATGGGAATTCCCCCCCCCCCCCGGCGTGTTTTGAAAGGTTTGCTTTGTATTGCTTTTGGTGCAGGAGCTCTGGCAGCTTCTGGAAAAGTTGAGCCCTGGTGCGTTCGATGCCGTGCCTTGGCGCAAGGGAAAGGAAAGCTTCCAGCTGTCCGCTGATTTCCCCTGTCCATGAAAGGCGCAGGCTGATTAAAGCAGAATCAGAATTTAGCTAGTTGCCACTCTTTTGGCGCAGATGGCTGAAATTTGAGCCTACTTCTCTTGGCGCAGGATTCCTTCGATAGCATGATGAGCAGCATGGACACCAACAATGACAAAGTTGTTCGGGGCCTACCTGGCACAGACTGCAGCAACAAGCCTTGTGCAGGTCAACGCTTAAGAGTTCTGGTCACCGTGCCAGTAACAGTAGTATATAGTAATATATAATAGAGTAGTAATAACAGTAAAGGTAATAGAAGTAGATTAGCAATAGTATAAGTGCTAGTAGAAATATTACGAAAAATACGAGCAATACTAAGAGTAATATTACATTGATAGTATAACAATATTATTCAACATGGTAATAAACTAGTATAATCATAGTAATAACGAAAATATGTAATGATAGAAAAAAGAACAGTCAAACTTATGCCGGTCTGTTGCCCTCCAGGTCCAGTATGCCGAGTGACAGCCCCGGATGGACGCAGTAGCCGAAGTAGTTCCATCGGTGTGGCGAAAGGCTTTTTCCTAATGACCTAGAGGGGCCTAGATGGGTTCCATAGTGTGTATATAGTAATAATGGAAAAAGGAAACCACTATATTGTAATAGTCATATTGGTAGCAGATGTCTTCGCTGGTTCAAATTTGGCATCCCCCTATCACGAAGTACATGCGGCAGAGCCAGGGAGACTCTGAGAGCCGAAGAGTTGGTAATAACTTTTCAGTCTTCATGGCTGGCGCTTTTCAATTTTCACGTTTGCAGGTCTGAGATTTTGCAGGTATCAGATATTTGCACCCAATTCCTCTCCTGAAGGAAGCTCAGTAATCGACCCCAGCATAGACGCCTTCTTCATGGTGCATTTCAGATGACGTCGTCTTTTGTGTGAACTCATTTCTCCAACATCCATGTCGTGAAGCACACACACACCTGGTTTCTTGCATTGCAGCAACAAAATGCAGCAACAAAATGCACGAGAACAATGTAAAGCAACTTGCACATCGTGTGGCCATCAAACATTTGCGCGTTGACATGCCGACGTATGACAGCGCATCCCGCGGCACGCATACCTTGAAGGACCTCTTGAGAACAAATTGTTGGCCATACACGCTCAGGTTTGTCCGCTGGCTAACTCACGGTGACGAACATGAACAGGCGATTAAGTGTGACTGCATCTATGGTTCATGCTTGTGGCTTAGGCCCGCCCTTCAGGACTGAAGGTGGTAAATCTTGCGATCTCCAGGTGTTGACTGTTCTGTATTTGTCAATAAAAGGATGAAGTTCCGCGAAGCTGCGAGGTGAGCGAAGCAATGGGTTTCGTGCTTTGGAAATCCTCACGCTCGTGGGGTGGAAGCATGCGCATAACATAGTCCTTCGACAGCGTGGCTTGTAAGAAGAGCAATGTTGTTAGGGTTCCATCCATGACCAGCGCTGCTGGTTAAAAAGGAAGTTGCGTTGTGCAACATCAGCCTGAGCGAGCGATCGCCTTTCCTGTTGTTGATACTGAAAGTCCTGCACGACGTTCGCGTACTACGGTACCATAATTCCCAATGCCTAGGTTACTTAAGTTCACGCAGTATTTTTAGTATCCACCATTCCCGGCACAACATGGCGCAGCTGAGCTCAGCTCGAGCGTTGGCAGGCTGGCCAGGTCTGGGAAGTGCAGCGCTCAGAGGACATTTTCCTGGTTCTTAGTAGCGAGTAAGGGAGTAGAACCCCTATAATATCCCTAACAATTGTATTCCTGTATTCCGTATTTAGAACCAGTAAGACAAGCACGTCACATCCTGCCATACTGTAGGTATCTCACTGCCATCACTGCTGGTTGTTGCACAGTACTGATGTAGCACCAAGTCAGGCATGAACTTCTAGGAGGCAGTGGTGACTTGGGGGTCAGCATCGGAACATTTGTGTTGCTAGGATCAACCTGAGAAGGGCCAACCTGAGAAACGAGGATCTGCAGCACACATCGAATCATTGCCGGCAAAGCTGTATACGACGTGCTGAGGTCACCACATGCGGAAAGTGTCTGCCCAAAGGCCCATTGGCACGCCTTGATGCGATCATTGGCATGTCTGACTCTTAGCTTCCAGGTCCTTGAGTCCTTGCATTCTTGTGCACAACAGAAGTACTAGACGCAGCCCCAACTGCTGTTCAGCATTTCGCTGTTGCGTCTTTGATGGCCTCTGAGCTGCTGATTCTTCATGTTGCCCTGCATGCAACGAAGAAGACCCGATGGCAAGTCGGGTGGCCCAAAGGTTTTGAGATCCTCTCCACATGTCCCGGAACTTCACAGAGCCCCATACTTTTGGCATGCGGCCTGAACCCTGAGGGCCTGTCATCAATTTACAGGGTGGGGGGGAATTTGAGAGGGTGGCAGGATGTTGGATTTTTAAAGTCAGTATGCTTTGCTCATGCAGCTTCATCTGCTTGCAGATGCGAATTGCTGCTACTAGCGTTGTATACTCTACAGGCACGGACCTTTCATCTACACTTCTGGTCGGGTCCGATGCCTGCTAACACGCATTTCTCCAAAGTCTGTGTGGTGAGGTCGCCTCACCTTGGTGGCAACACAACCTATCAGCAGGCCACACACTCGTCGGATCAGAGAGGATTCATGTCCCGGTTGAGCTTGGTCTCACTCCAAATCCAGGTATGTCTGATACATCGAAGTTGGATTGCAAAACCAGGTTCTAGTCAATGTCCTGGCACATGTGCAGAGGGTGGTGAAAGTCTGTTTCTATGTTCATTGTTACGGATCAAGCGACAACATCAAGCGAGATGGATGCAAAGTGGTGCTTGCTTGAACCTAGCGCACTTCAGGCTAGAACAGCCTTGGACAAGGGCGAGGAGGACACCGCAGCAAGTGTCACTAGGCATTGCGTACTGCTGCCAGCAAGGGAAGCAAGTCCGCAATCAAGTCATACAGGACAGCGCTTTCTTGCGCCTCAGCAGCAGTTGATGCCCTCCCATTTGAAAGGTAGCCTTCAAATGCTTGTTTGCTGGAAGAAGCAATACAGGGTCAACCTAGACGGAGCACAAAACCTCGTCCAGCTTACGGTGCTTGCTTGCTTTTTGAGGTTGTCCGACAAGCTGCTGATACAGCTAGAGAGCGATGCAACTCGACGCATATCCAAGACTACCCCATGCACTGGTGGGGTTAAATTGGGGTTATATTGGGGTTATGTTAGGGTTATATTGGGTGTATATTGTGGTTATGTAGGGTTTGTATTGGGGTTATATTGGCATGCCACAGGGCATGTTAACATTGTTCGTTCTCATTTGCTCCGTTGCACCAACGTTCCCTTCGGGGTTGCAGGCAAATCGGATTGATGCTGCTTTCATGCAGTTTGACTACAGTGGCACTGGCTTCTTGGACGATTCCGAAATCAATGCCATGCCCCATGGTCGCAAGAACCAGCCAAGTTTCACATTGTCTCCTGTGACTGGCTCACGTTGAGCTATCTTTGCCTTTTTTGGGGAAAAAGGCGCAGCTATCTTGAAAATTTCCAAATGCTTGCTCTGCACCAGGTTTCATTACTTGGGCTTTCCTGATCCTTCGAAGGACATTACGGGGTCCAAACTGTGTGGCAAGGAGAGTTCCGTTGGAGCACTGAAGACCAGACTAGAGCCCGCATGACAACAGCAGGGATGCCGAGTATACCACTCTGCTCCATGAGCTGCAGAACATCTCTGGGTGTCTCGCCTTGCGTGTGCTCCAGACGTACCGGATTCGCAGAATCATTTTTCATGATCTCCTTTAGTGAGACTACGTGAGACATGACAGTTCTCACTCGCAATTCTGCGCGAGGATGAAGAAGTCAAGGCCATGATCAAGAAGCTGGACAAGAATGGCACAGGGAAGGTCGAGAAGGAGCACGAGGGAACCAAGCGGGGCGTCAAGTGGCAAATTTCAGCCTCGACTAACGGTGCAGGCGGAGCCCTGATACCTTGATCTCCAGAGCTATCAGCAATCCAACTTGCATGATGAAACCAAATAAGACTACAACAATCCCGAACTACTCTCTACAGATGTCATGTGGCCTCAGATGCTTTCAGGAGGAGTTCAAGCACTTTGTAGAAGAGTTTGGAGGCCGGCTTGTTCACTGTTTGTATTGCTGAAGGCCGCGAAGGATGATGATGATGATGATGATGATGATGATGATAGTGGCCCGCAGGAGTTAATGGGGGGAGACTCTGAGGGCCCAAATACCTGTAATCCATCTCACATGGGTATTTTGCAGCCCGAGTGTCGACCATATTCTAAGACGTGGACCCTCAGGGAGAACTTCACCTTTGCTCTGGGAGGCTGCGACATTCTTTTCGAGAGGCGCCGCGAGAAGACGCTCAGGGATGCTAGGTGGCAATAAAATCCCCATTTGAGCCATAGTCTAAACTCCTTAAAGGGGGGTTATATAGGGGATTATATATGGGACTATTATGGAGGTTATTAAGGGGGATACTAGGAGTTTAGACAATGGCTCATTTTGGGAAGGCAGCCGAGGCAAGAATCCCAAGGTTCTAAACTAAAAACAGAACCGATGGGAATAGCGACAGGACTACGACCACGGTAGGAAACGGTTCTGGCAGATTCCCACCCACTGCATAGGTTATAAGGAGGAACTTCATTTTCTGCGCTGAGATGGGGGTCTCTTTGCTCTGCGTTGTATTCCTGCCCTGTGAACCGGATCCCTGCTGCTTAGTTTGCAACTTTGAGTGCCATTTCAATGCCAATGCCCAACCTTGTCTACACACACCTACATCCTTGAATTCCCACGGTCAAATCCCCGGCTTTCAGTCTTCGATTATTCCTATCAGCCTCTAAATCCCTACCTACAGCGATATTTTGGCCCTTAGGACCGTGCTGGCTCCTCGGCGTCCATCAGCGACCGGAGCAGGGAAGAAATCCAGGCCCTGTTTGGCCATGTGTAGCAATTGTGCGCAGCGATAGCCAGGGTTATAAATCACACTGCATGAGCAATTACTGCTGGTGATGATGCTCATCGTCATGGAGCAGCAGCAGCTGCTGCAGCCGCAGCTCCAACTCGGGTTCGCTTTACATGCGTTTGAACTACTCAAAGCGAGGTTGTCTTGCGCAGCTTAGCCGACAAAGAAGGTTTTGAGGGGTGTGATAGGCTCGAACTTAGCCGGGCCGCGATCCCACGAGGCAATTGGCACAGATCGGATTGCAGTTGCTCTAAGCAAGAAGTATCATCAGATCTATGACTGGGTACGGGGGAGTATGCGAGCTTGCGAAGGCCACAAAAGCAGGCAAAACTTCTGCAATATGCCAAGCTCCGTCAGGATCACTTGATGGCTGCTGGTATTCATCCTGATGCTCAAGCTTACTGGGCCGGGAGCCTGGCTTGTTTGTTCATTGCCTGCCAAAATGCTCGCACAGCTTTGCGCAGCCGTCCGAAACCTCAGGAGCTGGTCCTGCCTCCATCAGAGATTGAGAATGTTTGCCTTCTCACAGGCACGGAGCCACTTCACGGCCGCCTATTCGTGAAATAAGTCCGTGGCGAGAGGTAGTTAGATTGGTCTTGGACTAGGGCTTGCAGGATCCTACAGTAGTGTGATCCTCAAAGGGCGCTCAGCAATAGCATAGCAGCAGCTGTGGAGTCTAACTTTTGAGGCCAGAGGTTGTGAAGCATGCTTGACCAAATCTCATGTGCAGATTGTCAAAAGCGCGCTGTGTCGAACATTCGGCAGATCGCCAAGGCGGGGAAAACTTCAGCACATAGAACAGCTCATGGTTGATATGGGTTGAGTGGCAATGTTCTAAAGGTCAGCCAGATGGCCGCATCAAACACCTGCCTAGACTCCGTCATGACTGCACGCAATAGCCGATCTTGAAGCATGACTTGGCAAGTGAAGCAAGCAGCCCAGGTAGTCCCAAGGAATCGCTACTGCAAAGCCTTGCCCGTGGCCATGTAGACTTGCCAGACAACCACAATGTCAGGCACACACTTCACAATCAGTCATGCTTCGCGGAACAGGTGAACCATCAGCAGGCGCTGCCAGTTCTGCAGAGACGCGTGAGCAAGCTGGGGTACAAAGATGCTTGGCTTTCCAAAGGTGATTGGCTGAAGTATGCCTTTTGTTCTAGTCGGAAAAATGGACATCTGCTTCCAGCCACAGCAGCGTCATGGCAGGAACCGCGCCTTGGGCGCTAAACATACCTGCTGAAGCAAGCTTGCCATCCCGGCGTTTCTTGTGCCTGGAATGAGGACATGGACTTGTGGACCACTCTGTCTTTTGTGCGTGACTTCGCGCGCCCTGGCCAAAATAGCAACCAGTATACGGCTGCTACTTGTTTGCTCACTGGGCAGGTTCTGTTGTGCTCTTGTGCGGACCTGCCGCGGATGTTTGGCGGCGCACTCATGCAAGGCCTTTGATCGTCCACATCCACTTCGACAGGATGTGGCAGTTCATCATTGAGGACACGTGAATAGCATCCCATGTGTTCGTATCAGGTGGTGACTGTAGGAAAGACAGCTGACGTGAATAGTGAGACCACTGCAGCACCTCCATTCAGTTAGCACATGGTTGCACAGTATCACCTTGCCAGGACACGCACTACCGTTCGCAGTACCTCTGCAGCATTTCACTGGGCCCGTTTGGCTTTGGGCCTCCAAGTTTGGCCACCATTTGGAGATCCCAAAGACAGATCATCTCAAGTTGTGGCGTACCACTAGAGAGGTTTTTGTTTTGTGCTCACCAACTGGGCTCTTGCTTTGCAAGCGAGCTCATTTGAGCCTAGTTTTGACTGAATTCAGCAGGTTCCAATTTCAGAGGCCAGATTCAGCTGTGACTGTGAATTGGACTCCGGTCCTTGATGCAAACCCAACACTCCATCATTTGCATTCCCAACAGAATCCAAAGACGCTTAGAGTGTAGCGCTGAGTCGGAGTGGATTGGATCTAGCTCTAAGCTCCACCACAGATGCTGAGACTGCATGCCTTGCTCGAGGTTTGAAACTGGCAAATCCTGCGGGCTCAATAACCGGGAAGTCCGTGACAGATGGGAGCGCGATCTTTTTCAAGGCCAGCTGCCCAAAACCACCAGAGAGCCTGGATTAGGGCAGGAATTTGGGCGGAGCTTTGTGCAGCTACGTGTGGATGATCTCACTTGCAGAGATTGAAGCAGTCCTGTGGGGCATGCATCTCCAATGTGAACGTTCTGAAAATTTGCTTGGAGGCGCCTACACCGGCTGTCGCGATTTCGAGCGTCCCAAGTATGGAGTCCTGAACGTGCACAACGATTACCGCGGAGTGGTTCGCGCCAAACAGTACGGTTGCCAAGCTGCATAACCTGAAGCTGTGGGTCTCTTCGCTTTCGTTTGTCATTATTTTGCCGCTTTCCGCTTAATTGCTTGTATCTTATCTTATCTCAGGAGACTGCTACATGGTTTTGAAGGACGTGCGCTTGCGTACGACCTTCTCGCCAGAGGACTCTGTTAGAGCAAAGATGTACTTGCATAAATCCGAACGCGCTCCTGGTCTGCGGAGCAGTTCTTGCAGACAAGCTCCCTGGGTGTGTACTGCTTGCTTGCCACAGGGCTGTTCCCAACAGGACTCCGCCAATCTGAAGGCGGAGCGCCTGGCTTGTCTCGACTATTATGCTCACGCTGGGGGCTCAGACTGTTCATCGCCTTGCAAAAACAATCAATTTTCTTCGGCCACGCTTCAGCCTCACCAAGAGTGCCTTCGCCAAAATGGTCGCGCAACAGGTCCTGAATGAGTACACAGACGGGGAGCTGGTGGAGACGCTCAAGGCCTGAATTGTCTGGTCGGCGTGCCATTGTCGTGAATCAAGTCGAGAATCTTGAGACTAGCATCTAGGATAGGTGGATTCTACCGGAAAATTAAGTAGTCCATAGCCAGCTGGATGTCAAGAGCAAAGTGTGCCCAGGTAGCCACGACAGGCAAAATGGGCAGTTCAGAATCCATCGTGGCAAAGGGCCTCAAGTACAAAGAGGCAGCTGTGTAATGAGCTTCTTCCATTTGGCGGATTTGCGGTCCGGAGCTGGGTCCAACCTTTTGAGTGCAACCTCGGCATGTCAATGGAGCCTGAAGCATGATTCAGAGCTATGTTCTTGGGGCTGCCAGATCGACAGATTTGTAGGTCAGCTTGCCATAGATCCAGCACCAGGGGGGCTTTGTACAGCCTGCTCGTTCGCCATCACGGTAGTGCAATTGCAGCAGAAGGTCTTCACGTACGAAGCAGTGACAACTTCGGCACATCAGGCACCTCAAGCCCTCAACCATCCGGCTACCTGCCAGGCCCAATACCACGGGGAGATTGCTTGGGCTCGGCATGTCGAGCGCCTGGTGCTCCCCAAGGCGCAAGACACGCAAGTCTACGGTCCGAATAGAATTTCTGTCACCCCAAACACACGGGCATCCTTAACACTGCCAGACGCATCCCCAGAGCTCGTGACAGATTAGAGCCAACTCAGGCGAGTAATTCAGCAAAAAAACAATTTTGCATACTATTCCACAACCCAGGTGGCAGGTGTCGAGGGGAGTGTGATGGAGCTTTAAGAAAATTTGATTTAATTGACTGCCTTGCTGATGCAGGGCATGTGTATGGAATGCAAGCTGGACCGCTACTTCTCGTACCCATTCGTGGTCGCGACGAATCCTCAGGTAGAGAAGTACGACAATGACGAGATGAAGACCCACATCAAGGCTCTGGCCGCAAGTGCAGTTTTGTCATTTCCCGAGCTTTAGATGTATGTTGCAGGTAGTATGCAGGAGAATGTCCTTCTGGAAAGCCCCTGCACGTGTAGCCACCCCTTCTTTGACAGCCAGGTTTGCCTAGCTCAACATGACACATGACTCACCTAAATTTAGAAAGTTTCATCAGGGCCTGAATGTTTGACATCGCAGGATGAGATCGCGTCTAATGCCGTGTAGACTGCACACATAAAGGTTTCCTCGAGTTTCCTACTACCTAGGTTTTTCCATTGCAATCGAAATGCAACCCCCAACGATCTTGATGCTATAGTCTCATCCACGCCTCAAAACAGGGGACCCCATACATAGGACAGTGAGCGCGGCACGGTTGGCAAAACAAGTTGAGTGAGGCGCGCAACGCAATAAGATCCGAAAACACCCACCGGGTTTCTGCCCTGCCTGCACAGAGGGCCTTATATAGCACTGAAAAATAGTGCAACAGCTTATAGATCCAGGTCTTGACCACCCCTTTTCAGGAGTAAGCGTTGCTGGGAATCACAGGAGCGGTTTGCAGTAGCGGCATTTTATGGTTGATGCTAAGCGTTGAGAATACATTTTCCGCAACAGGCAGCCTGCGAAAAGAATGGCTGGGAGTCCGCTTCTCAGAGACTGGTGGTTGTCCACAGGCATTGATTCCAAAACGACAGCGGCTGAAGTACTTGCTAATTGCTGAATAGGCTTGTTTGGGCTTAACTGGTCACATCAGGTCCCAGTACCTTGTCCAATTTCCAAGGTGGTGTTGGGATGTGGATGAGAAAGCCAGGCGAGAAAAGCTTGAGGCGTGACGATCTCACACTTGCTTGCTCCCCTGCGAATGCAGTAGCGGAGCCTGTCGTCCTTCACTGGTTGAGAGTACCAGTCACCCCAAAAGGTAGATAGAGAGCCCCGTCAGCTCCCTGAATATTTGCCAGTACCTGAGAACCCCTCGAACGCTCTTGATAGCTGAATGCCCGGTGCAAAATCAACGAGTTTACTAATGCTATGCCCCGCACGTTCTGGCAAAGCACCCCGTGAGCGTGTTATGCAAGACGACCCTGTCTGCAACAGCTTTGCCTGTAAGCTCCTTCTGCAGCTGGCTCAGAGTACAACGGACTTGCCTCTTACCCGCACCTCAACCTCTTGCAGATTTCTTACCACTAGCGCCGCATGCCCCCCTGCATCCTGAAGCAACTCATAGGAAAACATCCAAGGTGCAGTTGGTATATGGGAGACTGTCAAAATTATGGTCCCTTT